TGAAGGTTAGCCATGTAAGCTTTGCCGTTGTGTTAGCCATAGCCCTATATTCTGCCTCGGTGCTGGAACGAGAGACAGTGGGTTGTTTCTTTGCACACCAAGAAATGAGATTGCTACCAAGGAATGTGCAGTATCCAGTTGTGGAGCATCTTGTTGTAGAGCAACCTCCCCAATCTGCATCTGAGAAAGCACAAAGATCAAGTGTAGAATGGGAAGTAAAATTTAATCCAGTGTCAATTGTGCCTTTGACATATCTTAAAATACGATGAACCATTTTGAAATGTATAACAGTTGGAGCATGCATGAAATTGAGAGATAAAATTGACACTGTAAGAGATATCAGGTCTTGTGAGTGTGAGATATTGTAAAGCACCAACAAGCCCATGAAAAAACTGTGGATCTTGCAATAGCATATCAGTTGCTGCCATTTTAGTCTTGGCTTCAAGCGGTGTGCTCATTGGTTTACAGTCCACCATACCAGCTCGTTCCAGGATTGTCAGCGCATAGTGTGATTGAGAGAGATGGAGTCCTTCAGAGGTGTGAGTAATTTCAATGCCAAGAAAATGATGAATGGGTCCTAAATCTTTCATTGCAAACTTTGAGCTCAACAATTGAATCAGGTGCGTAACCAGAGGAATAGAGGATCCTGTGAGGAGTATATCATCAACATAAAGAAGAAGGATTAAAGTATCAGAGTTAGAGTGAAAAATAAAAAGTGATGGATCTGCAAGACTACAAAAAAAAACCATATTTAAGAAGGAAGATACTAAACCAATCAAACCAGGCACGGGGTGCTTGTTTGAGACCATAAAGGGCCTTTTTGAGCTTGCACACATGTGATGGGTACCGTGGATCAGCTGTTCCTGGAGGTTGTTCCATATATATGTCTTCTGAAACAAAACCATGCAAGAAGGCATTTTTCACGTCAAGTTGACGTATGGACCATTTGTTAACTAGTGCTATGGAGAGAACCATACGAATAGTTCCTGGTTTGATAACTGGAGAGTAAGTCTCAGTATAGTCCAATCCATCAACTTGGTGATAGCCCTTTGCTACTAATCGAGCTTTCAAGCGGTCTAATGAACCATCAGGTTTGAGTTTTGTTTTTAGAACCCATTTAGAGCCGATAACATGGATGACAGGTGTGCAAGGGACAAGTTCCCAAGTCTGATTTCTATGGAGAGCTTCAAGTTCCTCGTCCATTGCAGCTTTCCAGCCAGGGTGAGCTAATGCAGACCGAAAGTTAGAAGGCTCACGTGGAATGGTTGCTGAAGTCCTAGAGGATATTAAGGCATATTTTGGGTTAGGCTTAAGAATGCCTCTTTGTGATCTAGTAACCATGGTATGTGAAGGAGGGGGTGCACGTGGAGAATAAACAAGCTGCAAGTCTGATTCTAGAGAAGTAGGATTGGGTTGGGAGTGAGAGAGGTATTGTCAATGCATTTCATCTTCATGGTCAGATTCTACCAAATGTATTTCAGTTATATTATCAGTTCTAAGGTGCTGCTCTGCCATTCCAACAATATTATTGTGTTCTTCCTGTTGTGTATCGGCTACTGTTTCAACAACTGTATTAGTGATAACATAATCAACATGTAAATTAAGAGAAGATGGTATAGTTACTTTTTCTGACATTCCAACGCCATTGTTGTGTTCTCCCACTCTAACAGCATGGTTGTGTTCTTCTTGTTGTGTTTCGGCTACTGCATCAACATTGTCCTGCTGCTCTGCAATTGTATTAGTAATAACATCATCATGTAAATTGAGACAAAATGGTATAGTGACTTGTTTTGCCAATCCATCGGCATTGTGGTGTTCTACAACTCCAACGGCACTAGCATGTTGTTCTGCATAAACATCAGGTAAATTAAGAGAAAATGGTAAAGTGTTTAGTGATGAGCTTGAGCATGGTGGAGTGGACATTAGGGGTTGTATGTCTGCAGTAGAGTTAGAGATAGTAGGTGGCAGCCATGAATACAAAATGCTCATAACATGTGTAGGAGATGGAGTGATGTACTTCTGAATTTTTTGTTTATAAGGAAAAAATGACTCATCAAAGACTACATGACGAGAAATAATCATTTTTTTACTAGAAGGGTGAAAGCATTTATATCCTTTATGTTTATCACTATATCCTACAAAAATGCATAGAACCGTTTTTGGGTCAAATTTATTTTGTTTTGTATCCCATGTGTAGGGAAAACATTTAGACCCAAAGACTCTAAGAGATGAGTATGTAGGATGATTACCATGTAACATGAAATATGGAGATTCAAATTTAAGTGCGGAAGAAGGCAATCTATTCATAAGATAAACAGCAGTAGTGAAAGCTTCAACCCATAAAGATAAAGGAACACCACTATGAAATAGCATGGTCATACCTAGTTCTCGTATTACTCGATGTCTTCTTTCTACTATACCTGTTTGTTCAGGTGTATAAGGACATGATATTTGATGAACCACTCCTGTTGAGAGGAAGTGTGATGATAGTTTGGAATTTATGAACTCTCCTCCATCAGAGTGAAAGACCTTGATATGCTTGTTAAATTTTCGAGTAACATAATGCTCAAAGGCAAAATAAGCATCAGCAAAATCAGACTTGTGTAGTAATGGGATTATCCAAGTGTATTTAGAAAAATCATCTACTAAACATGCATAATATCTAAACTTTCCTATTGATAAAACAGGAGCAGGTCCCCATAAATCACAATGGATTTTTTCAAAAATTCCAGAACTCGAATGTTCAGAACGAAAAAAAGGTAATCGACTAAGTTTTCCAAATTGACAACTATCACAAACATGTTCACATTTTGTGGTTCCTTTAACATCTATCAAACTTTTATTGTGCAATAATTGTAAAGCAGAAAAATGTGGATGTCCTAGGCGTTGATGCCAGATATCTGCTGGTCCTGATCTGAAACGATTAGAAAAGTAGAGCTCAGGCATGGTGGATAGAGCATAGAGGTCACCCTTGCGCCATCATGTGATCACAGGTTGTCCTGTCTGTCGTTCCTTAATACAGAAATCAACGTCAGAGAATTCACAATTAACAGGAAATTGAGATGTTAACTGACTTACAGAGAGTAAATTTTTTTTCAAGTCGGGTACTAACAATACATCATTAAGTGGCAATATTTTATTTTTCTGTGTGATGGAGGAATCTCCAATACCATGTATACCGTCACCAATAAGAACAGAGTCTGAACCATAGTGATTACGAATATTTTTTAACATACCTGGATTACCTGTCATGTGGTTGGAAGCTCCTGTATCAGAGATCCATTCCGTTTCAGTGATAGTATTGTCCAAGGTGAGAGCAGCCAAAGCTTGTGGTAGGTCTCCATGTTGATTTGATCGTTTAGGCACCCACCAGCATATCTTTGCAATATGACCTGGAACACCACAGTACTGGCAAGTTTCTTCTCTGTATAGCTCACGTTCTGCAGGAGTCATGCGATGCTCTCCAGATGGAGGAGGTCGTTTCTGTTTTGAATCTGAAGTGGATCTAGCAGTGTAAGTATGAGTTTTATCTTTAGGTTGTTGTGCATGGAATCCTCTCCCAGTAGATATAAAGCCTTGTCTGCTGCCATGGTTTCCTAAAAAATGATGTTGAGGGCGCTGGTGCTTTTGCCCGTAGAATGCCAACTGAGGAGTGAATGAGTTATTTGCCTGATTGGTGAACCAGTTTCTTCTTTGGTCTAAGCTCTGTAATTGAGAGACCAACTCTGGGTAAGAAGGTCTTGGTGGTTTCAGCATTGTGGTAGTGAAGGTTTCATATTGAGGGCCAAGACTTGTGAGGAGGCAAAAGATTTTTTCTTTGTCTGAAATTGGTTTCCCAATAGCTGCAAGGTCATCGCATAGTCCTTTGAAGATTCGAATGTGTTCTCCAATGGTTCTGTTATCTTCTTTGCGAAAATAGGTGACTTGTTGTCTGAGGGTGAATTCTCGTTCTTGGGAGTCCTCTGCATATTCATTCTTTAGAGCACTCCAGACAGCAAAGGTTGTGTCTAGGCCTACTGCAAGGCCTAATGTATGTTCTGAAAGAGTACCAATCAACCAGCCACGAAGTAGTCAATCTGCCTTCCTCCAGACAATATATTCTTTTGTTAGTCTTGGTGAAGAATCTGTGGTAGCAGTAGAATCTAGTACAATATATTTGTTTGGGATTGAATCTTCATTGATGAGATGATCAACCAAGTCTTGACTTTCTGCAAAAGCTAAGGCTTGTTCTCTCCATAGTGGATAATTTGTGGGGCTGAGCTTGAGGGTAATGAAATTACCAACATTGAGTGACAGAGTTGACATGTTGTGTGGTTCTGCTGAGATGTATATTCACACAGGCTCTGATACCAAGCGGAAATTTGAAGAAAGATAAGAATGTTTCAATGGAAGAAAGGTTTCTCTGTTTCTTTGAATATTAACGTGAATATACAACTTGCTATTCTATACGAGCTACTGTTTTTTATAACATCACAAGTTGCTCAATCTGGATACATTGACTTGCCTAATTCTTAGCTGATCCATTTCCATAACAAGCCAACGTCTCTTTCTCTTTCTGGTTCCTGTCATAAACTTCATTGCTGCTGCTGTTGATTTATTTCCATAACAAGCCAACGTCTCTTTCTATTTGTGTTTTGTTACCATGAGAGTTGGTTTGTTTCTATTGTTGCTGGTGATTCTAATTAGCCAACGTCTCTTTGATTTGCTTCCATGTTGTTGGCTGACTGCTGCAGTTGATTTGTTTCCATGAAGGCTGATTCGTTTCCATGTTGGTTTCCACGTTGCTGGCTTACAGCTGCAGTTGAATTGTTTCCATGAGCATATGTCTTATTACCATTAACAATCAAATCCCCTTCAGTATCTTTCGTAATAAGCGCCAATAAAAAAAAGAAATTCATATATTTTTCTTAATGTTCATATATTATGATATGAATATACCACACTAATTTGTTATGTATGGATGATGAGATTCCAATATTCATTAAGGGGTCACATTGGCATGCATCAAGTAGGGATTGAATCTACGAATTCACCAATTATGAGTTGGGTGCTTTAACCATTCAACCATGGATGATTAGTGGGGATATATCCTCGTACATGGTGAATAACCAAATTCGCAAATATTCCACTGCGATTGCCAAAGTTAATCGGCCAAATCTGAAGACGTCTATCACCACCACAACCATCTTATCCCTCTTATAATGACTAATAAGAGAACGATTACGATAAACATGGGAGATGGGTCGAAGACTTTGAACAGAATGGTTTAGATATTGCATTACTATCACAAATAACTTCTTTGGAAGAAAAAACGATTTGATTGAATACAATGTTCATGTACGTACCTCTTTAGATTTTTTAAAGTGCAGAGAATGTGTGGCTGCAAATAATGGATGGCTATCAAGTCCCCTTCAGTTTCTTTCGTAATAAGCGCCAATAAAAAAAAGAAATTCATATATTTTTTTTAATGTTCATATATTATGATGTGAATATACCACACCAATTTGTTATGTATGGATGATGAGATTCCAATAGATTTATTGGAGGGTCCCATTGGCGTGCATCCAGTAGGAATTGAACCTACGAATTCGCCAATTATGAGTTGGGCGCTTTAACCATTCAGCCATGGATGCTTAGCGGGGATCCTCGTACATGGTGAATAACCAAATTCGCAAATATTCCACTGCGATTGCCAAAGTTAATTGGCCAAATCTAAAGACATCTATCACCACCACAACCATCTTATCCCTCTTATAATGACTAATAAGAGAACGATTACGATGAATGTGGGAGATGGGTCGAAGACTTTGAGCAGAATGGTTTAGATATTGCATTACTATCACAAATAACTTCTTTGGAAGCAAACACGATTTGATTGAATACAATGTTAACGTACTTATCTGTTTAGATTTTTCAGAGTGTAGAGAATGCGTGGCTGCAAATAATGGGTAGTTATCAATTCCCCTTCAGTTTCTTTCGTAAAGCGCCAAAAAAAGAAGAAATTCATAGTTATGAACTAAATAATTGGCTCAAGGAACTGATTAATTACTCAGATAATAAGAGCCTTGCTCAACTCAAATCATTTAGCAATAAAATACATGACTGTCACAGCAGCACAATATAAACTTGGAAAAACCACCTGATTTAGATGAACGTGGGAGATGGATCAAAGACTTTGATGCATTACTTTCACAATTAACTTCTTTGGAAGCAAACACGATTTGATTGAAAACAATGTTAATGTATCTGTTTAGATTTTTCAGAGTGCAGAGAATGCGTGGCTGCAAATAATAGATAGTTATCAAGTCCCCTTCAGTTTCTTTCGTAAAGCGCCAAAAAAAAGAAGAAATTCATAGCTTATGAACTAAATAATTGGGTCAAGGAACTGATTAATTACTCAGATACTAAACAATTTGACCTGTTTACTTTTCCACCCTCATAGTTTTCATAGAGAAAATGATTTAAGAATAATATGACGAATGAACTTCATAATAACGCCAAGATCTTACATTCATTACCATAAATGAATGAAGAAACAGATTTCTTTCTATCATTTTAATAATTCTTTAAGCAAGTGGTTGAGAAGTTTGTTTATAAAATGATTTTCCTTCTTGACATGGTTTCCTTCGTGTTCTCGTCTTTTCTTTGGCTGAATAATCAATTAAAGGAAGGGGATAAACAACACATAAGAACCTTGCTCAACTCAAATCATTTAGCAAAAAAATACATGACTGTCACAGCAGCAGAATATAAACTTCGAAAAACCGGCTGACAAATCTCAAACTACTAAACATGACTTAAATGTAATTCTAACGGAGGAAAGCTGCTGATATATATAAAGAATTCAATGACAGAACACTACTACTTAAACATCTGAATACCAATGGTTGCCCACTGCATCAACATGCTTCCATACACTACCAGCCTTCACCACCATCATGTTCTCGCGGAGGTTAAGGACCTAGAAAAACTCGGAGTATTTTCCACATGCCTAAATTTCAGTTAATCCACTAACTATTCTGCCCATAAGTTCTTTTGTTTGTTTGTTTTTTTTTTTTTTTCATTTTCTTAATCCAGAAAACTCGAATGACATTTGAGACATAATTATCTTGCTCAGTTGACTTAAAAGTAATGCTAATGGAAGAAATCTGCCAACATCTGAATACCAATGGTTGCCCACTGCATCAACTTGCTCAGTTGGGGCCGTATGAGAGCTGTGTTGGGTTTTATTTGTAGTGCTTGAGTTAGATTTCATTTGCGTGCGTTTTGGGTGATGGGTTTGTTAGTAGGATTTCTTGGAAACATGGGTTCAGGTTCATGACTGAACTTGTAATGTAATTAAATGAATCCAAAAGTTAGAAGCAGATCACGTTTGAAGTTGTTAATGTAATTTAACTTCCATTTGAACGTTGCCGATCCGTTGTAAATCCACCAGACTGATCTTTTTTCACTTCCTAAAACATTTGTTCCATCAAAACCATCAAAGTAGAAATCAATGCAATTGTTACTACTTACAAAGCTCATGTTTCGCTTTGACAAAAATTGACTCTCCAACCATAACTAAGAGATCTATGCACAGTCACTACCAGAAAATCAATAAATACAAACGGAAATACCGAGGGAATATTTCCGTCGGTAAATTTCCGAGGGATTTTACCGACGGAAATATTTCCGAGGGATTTTACCGACGAAAAGATTCCCTCGGTATATACCGAGGGAATTACCGTGGGAAAAAAAAATAAAGCAAAGCAAAAAAAAAAAGATGACGTGTCATTTTTTACCGACGGAATTTTTCCGTCGGTAATTCGGTCGGTAAATCCGTCGGGAAATCCGTTGGTAAACTGTGAACATTGTTCATCATGTCAATTACAAAGGGAATTACCGACGGAATTTTTCCGTCGGTATTTTACAGAGAGCTCCAGAACTGTTCATCTTCCAATTACACTGTTAATTGTTTTACTTTACGGAAAAAATCACCGACGGGTTGAAAATGCGTCGGCGTGTTTTGGCGGTTTTCTGAAAAAATTCAATTGATTTAAAATTTTCATTTAAATATTACAGACGGAATCACCGACGGATTGAAAAATCATCGGTAATTTTTGGCGGTTTTTAAAAACTTTTTCACAAAATTGAAAATTTAAATTAAATATTACCGACGGAATTACCGACGGAATAATTAAAAAATATTAATATTCAATTATCCGTCGGTAAATCCGTCGGTAACGCGCCCCAATAAAAAACCTGAATCCGCTTATTTCACAAGAGACAGACTCATTTCTTCTTCTTCTTCTTCTTCTACTACTACTTCTATTTCTTCTTCTTCTTCTTCTACTACTTCTACTTCTTCTTCTTCTTCTTCTACTACTTCTACTTCTACTTCTTCTTCTTCTTCTTCTTCTTCTTCTTCTTCTTCACTATATGTAAAAAACATCAATATCTATTTCTTTCTCTTCTTTTCTCTCCTCATCTCCTTCTCTTTTCCTCCATGCTCGGGTATGTCTTCTTCTTCCTTCTTCTTCTTTCTTCTTTTATCCTCTTAGTTTTTTTTAATTAATATGCTTCACGAATTGTTTTTTCCTTAGCTTCACTTGCAAGTATATTAAGGTAAGATCTTTCTTTTTTCTTATTTTTTCATGATTTTTCACTATATTTGTTTTTTATTTAATTTTAATTGATTTTGTTCTTAATAATTGTATAAATATTGTTGTGAGATTTCTTTTTTTCATATGAGATCAATTTTTATTTGATTTATTTATAGGATTTTTAAATTTTTAGCACTTGCAACTTCATTTTTTTCATATGAATTTTTTAGTTGAATTAATTTTTTTGTTTTATTTTTTTGTTACAAATTTGTTTGAGTTGATTTTCTTATTCTTTTTTCCAAGCATTTTGAGTATATATTATACAATGTTGATTTATGTTAATTTAATTATTTTATAATTTTATAAAATGAATTTTTTTTAAAATGTTTTTAAATAATTATCGACGGATTTACCGACGGAAATGTCCGTCGGTAAATCCGTTGGTAAATCCATCGGTAATAAAAAACAAAATTACCGACGCGTCTGTTCCGCCAGTAAATCCGTCGGTAATATTATTACCGAAGGAATTACCGACGGACAAAAAATTACCGACAAAAGATTCACCGACGAAAATTCTCCGTCGGTGATTTAGTCGGTAAACTAATTACCGATGGAATATGTGTCTTACGCCGACGGAAAAAGTCCGTCGGTAAAACTGTTAAATCTTATAGTGAGTATCCTAGATTTAATGGCACACATCATTTAGTCAAAACAATTAATTCAGAATATTAACAAAAACTTAAATAAGAAAAAGTTTTAAATTTTTTATTAAATTATTATTACTACTACTATCCTCATCGATATTTTTATTTTTCATAACTTTTTCTTTTTAAATGTGTAAAAGGTTTTAGTTTTGCTAATGCATGGGTTTTGTTTTCTTAATGAGTAAAAAGTTTTATTTTATTATTATTTTTTATATTCAATTATCATAGGAAACAAAAGGTTTTATTTTTAAATAAGTTATATTTTTTATCCACAAATAAAAAAAAAGTAACACTCTAATTGGTCGAGTTTCACAACCAAAATCTTCAAAGCCTCTTCCTTAAAAACCCGTTCATGATAGAAATAGGAAATGTAATAATTAATAATGAGCAGCTTCAATATTTAAAAGAATGGATAGCTCTCGTAATAATGAATATTTTTACTTATTTTCAATTTAGTTTCAGTTCTGATGGAAATTAAGTGATTAATGGGCAGAGGAAGAGATCTTCGAAAGAAAGAAGTAATGCTGGTGCTGTGCTGGGAGAAACCATTCTCTCCAAAGAATGGTAATGAAAAGATCAGTGTACGAGAAATCTTCACGTCAACCATGCTTTTTTATAGAAATATTATTATTACTTTTGATAAATCTCATATTTAATATTTTTTTTCTTTCATTAAATATCTATTTTTCTTCAAAATAGACTCAGAGAACAACTATTCCTGCTGACTTCTTGAATATCATAAAATCTTACTCTACTAATAATGCTTTTTCTTTTCCTAAAACTCTGAC